AACACAAGCAGAACACCAAGTTATTGCAAACATCCCAGGCCTCAGCGAACAGATCAATTTCAAATTTAGATTAAGATTTTGATGGCTGTGGGTACGAAAGAGTATTTAAAACGGTTCAGTTTGGTTTTTGGGATTCTGTACCTTCTGCCTTCTGTGCATTGTGTTCTACAGGAGCCAATAAATTGTGAAAAAGAAGTCATCTCATGAGTTCTCCCCATGTCTGCGTGGGTTCTCTCCGGGTGCTCTGGCTTCCTCCCACCGTCCAAAGACATGCGGACTAGGTTAATTGGTGACCCTAAATTGTCCTTAGGTGTGAGTGTGTGCGTGAGTGGTTGTTTGTCTATGTGTGGCCCTGCGATGGACTGACAACCTGTCCAGGGTGTACCCCGACTTTCGCCCAATGTCAGCTGGGATTGGCTCCAGCCCCCCGTGACCCTGAATACAGGATAAGCGGTTGACGATGGATGGATGGATGGAAGTCATCTCATGAGTCGTCCTTCACATGACCTAACCACACCCGTTTTAGTTATAATCATTAAAAGTATTTGTGGTGAGCATTTTTTCAGCCACTCACTGTTTGACATTCTGTAATTAACTCTGCATAGCAGTTTCAATTGTTAGGGGCGGTGTCTGGCATTCCTGCGCTGGATTCAAATAGCCTAACCCCAGAAGGCATTCACAGGAAACAATGCATGTAATCCAACTTTGTTGTACTTTTACCTTACAGCCTCACTGTTAACCGTTCACTGTCAGAACTGAAATTTTAAGGATTATAACTTGTAGCCAACATGGGACTGTGCCAGTAGGAGTCGCTACTAGCACCAGAATGTTTAAAGAGGTGGTATGATGCTCATTTTCAGGTTCAAAATCTTTTTTAGGGGTTTAGGTTTTAAAAAAATACCATATTTTTCTCATACTGCACATTGCTGCAGCTTATTATTATTACTGCATTGCCTTTTTCCCGCCTCAGATGTTTTGAGAAATTTAGTTTACTGTTTTAGCTGTAATTTGTTTGTTACCCACTTGCAACACCCCAACTTGCATATGTTGCTCTGATTGGTTGTTGGTCTATCAAATTGTGTAGATGCAGAAAACCTTTATGATATACAAACAAATCCCTTGATGAAGTCACAGCATTTCAGTTTTCCTTAAAGGGGCTATATGTAAGTTTTTTTGATTTTAATAAATCAAATTTTCATTGCCTTATTGTTAATGGGCTCAAAACTCACTTAGAAATGAAGCACACGCCTGTTTTCTCCGTTGCTTGCATCAGCCACTATTCTGCTTTTAATGTTAGATATCCAGGTCAGATTCAGCTATGTGCGCGCTCCCGAGCCTCTCTCAGACTACAGCGACAACAGGGCAGCTAATGACATGCAGTCCACTAACACCATAAAACAACCGGCTCACAGCAAAACACAGGCTCCACGTAAGGATACAAAACAACAATAAAGGTTTATGTGCTGAAGCCCATCAGACCAAACAGATTCAGATGATGTCGAGTAAGAACAAAGTGAGCATTCGTATAGCTGGAGAAACACAGAGAAAGTCACGTTAGCTCGCTGGCTAACACTGAACAGTTGCTAATGTGATCTGGTCCAAAGTTATATCGCTTTCCACATTACTTCACCAACTAACGCCACCCATGTTACTATCCTGTGTACCACTGTTGATTTAGCCTGCAAGAAAGGATGTAACAGTAAAAAGCAAATGTGGAGCAATTTGTTTAACGTTAGCCTATAGTGATGCAGCCAGGAGCAGCCAGCTAATGCTACAGTAACTTAGCTCGGACCTGCCGCTGTTTTCTTCGTAACGTTCAGTTTGTGTTTATTGTCGTTATACTCAGATACACAGCTTCTCCACCTCTCAGTCGCTGTAACTAACGTGACCCACATAACATAAAACACTGCAACAAAACGGTCACAACAACACAGAGGAAGAGCCATCCACTATCACTAGTTACAGTAAAGGTCTAACTGCTATAAAGTGTGGCACAGTCACATTATAATATCCATTCCAGCTCTTTAACCGTTTCTTTATCATCCAATACATGTAGCTGTGCTGACATTGCTGAGCCTCCGGTGACAGATTCACAGATAGTAAAGATGGTTAACGTTACAGAAAAGCAGCAGGCGAGCTAACGATGTAGCATGTCAGCTAAATGCAGTAAATGTAATGTTATCATGTAATGAGCATGGATTAGTTCAACCTACAGTTGATAAAACTATTACTGTAACATTGCAGTGGGAGTTTACCCGAGTTTCCAGCTCTGTCTGTTCTCCCTGTCTGTCTTTAGCCACTGTCACTCTGACTTTTTCAGGAGTATTGAGCCGATATGCGGCTTGCTGCGCTGAATGAAAGGTACGCCGCCGGTGTTGATCTGTCTCTGAGACGGGAACGTTGAAGTAACAGAGCCTGAACATGTCTGGAGAAAAGCCACAGCCTGCATGCTGGTGTTCCTGCGTCTATTGTGGTATTTCTGTATGAAAGTGGCTGTGTTTCGGATTATGCTCGCTCATGAGTTCAAGCGAGCACGCGTACGAGCACACACCTGGTTGCAATCTTAGAACTGCACCGCTAGTGGCTGCTGGAAACTCCATAATGCCCCTTTAAAAGGTGGAGGTGGAGGTGTAAGTCTAAACATAAATGTTATTTAGGTGTTGGAGGAGTGTGAGGAAGGCACCTAATGGTTTATCCTGATGAGACATCTGTTTAATGGGGAATTGGCAAGGTATTGAGACTTCCCGACCACATGTCAGCACATACACTCACGTAAAGGATTATTAGGAACACCTGTTCAATTTCTCATTAATGCGATTATCTAATCGACCAATCACACGGCAGTTGCTTCAATGCATTTAGGGGTGTGGTCCTGGTCAAGACAATCTCCTGAACTCCAAACTGAATGTCAGAATGGGAAAGAAAGGTGATTTAAGCAATTTTGAGCGTGGCATGGTTGTTGGTACCAGACGGGCCGGTCTGAGTATTTCACAATCTGCTCAGTTACTGGGATTTTCACGCACAATCATTTCTAGGGTTTACAAAGAATGGTGTGAAAAGGGAAAAACATCCAGTATGCGGCAGTCCTGTGGGCAAAAATGCCTTGTTAATGCTAAAGGTCAGAGGAGAAAGGTATGCAGCAAAGCATTTGTGAAGCCACAACACGCACAACCTTGAGGCGGATGGGCTACAACAGCAGAAGACCCCACTGGGTACCACTCATCTCCACTACAAATAGGAAAAAGAGGCTACAATTTGCAAGAGCTCACCAAAATTGGACAGTTGAGACATTCAGATGAAGAACATCAGAATGAGAACATGGATCCATCATGCCTTTTTACCATTGTGCAGGCTGGTGGTGGTGGTGTAATGGTGTGGGGGATGTTTTCTTGGCACACTTTAGGCCCCTTAGTGCCAATTGGGCATCGTTTAAATGCCACGGCCTACCTGAGCATTGTTTCTGACCATGTCCATTCCTTTATGGCCACCATGTACCCATCCTCTGATGGCTACTTCCAGCAGGATAATGCACCATGTCACAAAGCTCGAATCATTTCAAATTGGTTTCTTGAACATGACAATGAGTTCACTGTACTCAAATGGCCCCCACAGTCACCAGATCTCAACCCAAAAGAGCATCTTTGGGATGTGGTGGAACGGGAGCTTCGTGCCCTGGATGTGCATCCCACAAATCTCCATCAACTGCAAGATGCTATCCTATCAATATGGGCCAACATTTCTAAAAGATGCTTTCAGCACCTTGTTGAATCAATGCCACGTAGAATTAAGGCAGTTCTGAAGTCGAAAGGGGGTCAAACACAGTATTAGTATGGTGTTCCTAATAATCCTTTAGGTGAGTGTATGGCTCAGCTTACTGCAATCGTGTGGGCACTCAGAGGGCACTAAGCCAAAGGAAGGTGTGAAATGCAGCAAGCAGCAGCCTCTAACACATTAAATGAAGGAAAACCAAAAATTAGATGAAGTGTTATTGACAACATACAAATCCATAAAGTTGTTGCAAAGTGAGCTGTATGTAGGGGAAGAGGGAACAAGAAAGCAGATGAAAAAACTAAAAAGGCAATTTCAAGTGAAGCGATTAGGATTTCACTCCCCCAGAATGCTACAGCCTCATAAAGCTATGCACGTGTGGCAAGGCATCACAGAATGAGAGAAATGGCAGAGCATACTATTTGATGCACTCAATGGGGTTTTTAAACCATGAAGATTTGGCAAAGATTAGGAGATTTGGTCATTTTGGGCTCAGAAAAAGCTCTGATTGATAAATACCAGGGCTGATAGAAAAAGTGAGAGTGCGGGGAGAGAGCTTGAGAATGTGACACATCTTCTGTAGTTGTGAGAAACTTTCAGAACTGCATAAGTGGCTTGAAATATGAGCAAAAATGGTTGAAGCAGAAATGACGGTCCCTGTCAAAACAAGTGAAGAAGAAGAAAAGCAAGAGTAGCAGAGGCATGTGGTGTAAAATCACAGCCGACGTCTTTCAACACGCAACAAGGTTTTGATGGGAGGACACATCATAGGGAAAAAACACTGATAATAACCACAATCTACATACTACAATTGTTCTGGTATTTCATAACATTTACTAAGCATGCACACACATACACAAACACAAACACACACACACACACACCTACACACACACACACACACTGCATAATCTTCACCTCCAGCCAACTAATCCATGTCACATTTTGAATTGCCCAGAGTTCCCAAATGAATCACTATATGACTGCATAAATGGTTTGGGCTGCCACCTACAGAAGCCTATTTATGAGCCACAAACAATGTCATAGTCACATCTAATTTTCACAAGAGAGACGTGTGAGGACTTCAAATGAAGCGCAGCAAGGCCATCTAGTGGTTCGAAGTGGACACGACCTGTTTGGGACTGCGGTTCAATTCTGCCAAGGTTTGAGGGGATTCATGAATTGATTTGAAGCTAAGCAGTAACACCTGTTGCTCGCTGTGCTTCTCATAAGCCCACAAACTCGCGATGGCTACTGTCTGCCGAGATAGGACACGTCAAAGGATCATAATGGCAAAAAGAGACTAACACTTCGATTTAGACAGTGGAAACAAGTAAGCATCTTCATCATTTGATTTGCGCTCTTTACACTTGAACAATATGTGATTAGTTTTTTTGCGAGTTCATATTTCGAAATCATATTGTTCAATTCGAGTGCTATGCTATTCTTTTCTTTTCTTTTGTTTGGTGTTTGATTATGGATGCTGACCAATTTCCCACCAACCTTGAGTCGAGATAACACAATTAACTAGATTCGGATCAAACGTCTCCAAGCGCTTGTAGGGGAGATAATATCAGCTACAAGCCAGTGGTTATCTGAGCCTATTTTTCACCGTTTTGACTGACACCTGGATCACAGTCGCAACTCCACTAGGAGCTTCACGGAGCCCGAGTGAAGATGCTCACCGAGGAGCGGCTTTATCATCTTTGAGGGCGCGGAGCGCACTGGTCTGTTCGTAGAGTGAAACCAAAAGCTATAAAGGATTTAACTTAAAAGTAAAGGATATTTGGAATCACTCAGAGTAAGAAGGAATTTCTGTTGCAGTCTGCTTCAGCGGCACTTGACTTGGGAAGCAGACACTTAATACTTAGCATACTTTGAATCTTACCGATGGATTTCTTTAACGGGTCAAATTTCTCCCTCGGGGACAGTAATTCAACAACAACAGGTAGGTTGAGCAACCAGCACACCGGTAAAAAAAAATCCAGTTAGAACAACATTCGTTCACGCCTTGTTTATAAGCATCAAAGCTTCATTCAACATGTTCCTAAAACAGACAAAACCACACACACACACACACACACACACACACACACACACACACACACACACACACACACACACACACACACACACACACAAATGATAACTTTGCAGACAATGTGTCTTTTGATACTTAAGCTTAAGTGCTATGCTAACCTTGAGATTTAGCCAGCATTATCACACATGTCAGTTTGGGGCAAGTCGTCACATGTAATTACTTGCCCCAGTACAAATGACACATAGAACATGCTCCAAAAACTATGTGAAATTGTATAATTACCTCTGACACTAGTATTAAATGATACTATAAATAGAATATTATACTCTGTAGTTTACAGCAGCAGCCATATGCCTGGACAAGACTGAATTCATGACATGATGAGTACAGTGGATAGAAAAAGTCTACACACCCCTGTTAAAATGCCAGGTTCTTATGATGTAAAATAATGACACAAAGATAAATCATGTCAGAACTTCTTCCACCTATAATGTGAACAATTCAATTGAAAAACAAATTGAAATCTTTGAGGGGGAAAAATGAAAAATAAAACCCCTCAAATAACCTGGTTGCATAAGTGTGCGATGCTTGCATCTCAGGCCAGGCAATTTATGTGTGCCAGAACTGTGACTCTAAACACATGTCTGATTAGTCAGATACAGATGTACATGGTACAAAAATGCACATTGTTGCATTAGTGTATTTAAACACCACATCTGTTTAGTTAAGAAGTTACACATTTAAGCAAGTTATCTGCAGCATTACATTCAATTACTGTAGCTCTATTTGCACTCCAGAGAACGTTGGATTTTAAAGTTCAGAGAAAGAGGTTGTGCCACTTGATGTGTGCTCTGCCAACATTTTTGTTTTGAATTAAATTATTTATATTCCAATTTCTCTAGGCTTGATTGTTGATTTGATTTTACTTTTAGTTATGGTTACAATTTGAAATTGAAATCAATATTCACAATTAAGTGTTCTAACTGTTTGATAATCCATTGTGACAATTTACCTGCCGATGGGGCAAATTTTCACAAGTGCACACTCTCTATTCAACAGTCTACAGCGCTATAATGAGATAAGATATGAATATGTAATGAATACAAAACTTCTGCCCAAGACTTAATTCTTTCATTTGGTATACCCCGCTCTCCCCTACAATAACCTACAGTGAGGAAAATAAGTAGTTGAACACCCTGCTATTTTGCAAGTTCTCAAAAAAAATCATGGAGGGGTCTGAAATTGTCATCGTAGGTGCATGTCCACTGTGAGAGACATAATCTTAAAAAAAAAAATCCAGAAATCACAATGTATGATTTTTTAACTATTTATTTGTATGCTTTGTATTTGCTGGTCCAGGAATTTCTGTTGCAGTCTGCTTCAGCTGCACTTGACTTGGGAAGCAGACACTTAATACTTAGCCTATTAACTTGCATGCTTTGAATCTTACCGATGGATTTCTTTAACGGGTCAAATTTCTCCCTCGGAACAGTAATTCAACAGCAACGGGTAGGTTGAGCAACCAGCACACCGGTAATAAAATCCAGTTAGAACAACATTCGTTCACGCCTTGTTTATAAGCATCAAAGCTTCATTCAACATGTTCCTAAAACAGACAAAACAACACACACACACACACACACACACACACACACACACACAAAAATAGGCTAGGCTAGATGTACTTTAACCTAGTTTATTTTTCTTCTATCTCCCAAAGTTATTTTGTAGGCCATCCTTTTTTCATACAAGCATAGTCCATTGCTTAATGGCTGTAGAGAATTCATTTCACAACCTGATATGTTGAGAAATATGAAACAAGCCTACCTTTATTCCCTTGATCAATTTAAATTTTGCCACTGATTAAAGCTATATTATGATTTCTACTTAGAGATTGATGCACATCATTTTAGTGTTAATAAAGGACTAAGTCAATGAATGGGTTTGGTAAGACAGAGACATGTGACTTTTCTATGTTTAAAATGTAGGCTACACATTACATATCCATGACAAATTTTATTGAAAGGTCTAGTCTTCTAACATCATATGGATCATTATAGCATTGAAAGATGTGAGCCCACACACACCCATGCAGGCACGCACAAAAATCAATCATTTCCACTTTGAAATGATCCGAAGTGGAAATGAGCAAGATGGAGAAAATTCATAAATTCTCACTGCGGTGTCAATAATAGATCTGCCCATGAAATGATCCCCTTGCAAACCAGTATTATTGATATTACTTTGCTGCTTTTGCTAATACACTGTGACATGATCATTGTATTACATACTGTGCATGCTGATACAATATAAGGTTTTGTATGGCATGATTAATGTAAAATACTGTATGTTACCGCTCAGTATTTTTGCTTTATATTCAGCTGCTGCTCCCTACTCTTCTTGTCTCCAGCTGCAGATCGGGCCCTTTATTGCAGTGCCATCCTCCCTGTCATCTTTGGCACCATCTGCTTTCTGGGTATCATGGGGAACTTTATTGTTATCTACACCATCATGAAGAAGACCAAGTGCCGTGCCAAGCAAACTGTTCCAGACATCTTTATCTTAAACTTGTCAATTGTTGATCTCCTGTTTCTCCTCGGGATGCCATTCCTCATCCACCAGTTGCTGGGCAATGGTACCTGGCACTTTGGAGCCGCAATGTGTACGGTCATCACTGCGCTTGACTCCAATAGCCAGATTGTCAGTACTTACATCCTCACCGCAATGACCCTCGACCGTTACTTGGCTACTGTCCATCCTATCCGCTTCAACTATGTCCGCACACCTTGTGTGGCAGCACTGGTCATTGGCCTGGTGTGGGGTCTGTCCTTACTCACCATCATCCCCGTGTGGATGTACGCAGGCCTGATGCCCCTCCCAGATGGCCTGGTGGCCTGTGCTCTCCTTCTGCCTGACCCAGTCACTGACACATATTGGTTTACGCTTTACCAGTTCTTCTTGGCATTTGCTATACCTTTGGCCATCATCTGCCTGGTGTTCTTCAAGATCCTCCAGCACATGTCCACCAGCGTGGCACCACTGCCTCCACGTAGTTTGAGGGTGCGCACCAAGAAGGTGACCCGGATGGCAGTGGCTATCTGCTTGGCTTTCTTCATCTGCTGGGCCCCATACTACATCCTTCAGCTGGTCCACCTTGGGGTGCAAAAGCCAAGCCTAGCTTTCTCCTATGCCTACAACATAGCCATTAGCATGGGCTATGCTAATAGTTGCATCAACCCATTCCTCTTCATTATCCTCAGTGAGACCTTCAAGAGACAGCTTCTCAGGGCTGTGCGCCCGGTTAATCGAAAGTTCCGTGTAAACCCGAGCACCACTGATGGTGGCAGTGTGAGTGTGAGAATGGTACCTGAAGGGGCTCAGCAGGCGCAAGCCTCTGAGATGATACCGTCCAATGAGGCCCCACAATGAATAGGGAACAACAATCACGATAACTTTATTACTGTGTATCTGTGCAACTGGTAAGCACTATGAATGGGACATTAACAGAAAAACACATAGACCTATACATGTTGTTTCTGAACAGCAATGCCAACTCAATTTGAGCATTTTTTTTACACAGTATGTTCTCTTTTTTTCAGCGAAGACCTGAAACTGAACTATCATTCATGAGTCTATATTTATCTAACCAGCATGCTGCAGCCACTTACTGGGCTTGTTCCACCTTTTTAAAATACATATATAGTCATAGGTCAATTTGTTGAATCTGTTCAAATCATCACAAACCTTCATTTAATTTGACTTGAGTTTGTACATAAAGCCAGGAAAAAACAATCAATGAAATCTTATAGTTTTGCTCAGTTGAACTTATTCACTCGTCTTACAAACCTGTGATTTCCTTTTGAATTGCACTAGTGGTATGGGTTTAAGACCAGTTAATCTGCTACATTCTGAAAACGCCTTAATACCAGTTTGGCTGTAATAGGCCTATACATGACTGTAAATAATAGGTCTGGATTGAAAAACTGAATCGTTTAACACAGTGGTTCTTAAATATTTTGCACTATTTAATCCAGTAGGTGGCAGTAATTCCAATCGCTGTAAAAAGCCAAAGAAGAAAAAGGCACCGATCAGACAGAAAGCGCTTTGCTGGTTCGAAAACGCGAGGCGCACAGCAATGCCTCTTTTGGTTGAATTTGTAAAATAGCAAAGCGCTGCGTTTTTTTTCATGTTGCGTGGCAGCCACCAAACTTTTAACGTCAGAACGTTAAAAGAGACTATAGCCTGCTTGACACACCTCTGAAAGAGCCATCAGAAAACGTACCCTAAATGTCCTCTGCCTAAAGATGCTGTGGAATTGCAAAAGCGCCCGTAGGTTGATGGACGTGGATCAAACACTGAAGAAAAACAGCGCAGCACATGCTGCAGTATATTTCGTCTTCTTCTTCTTCTTCTTCTTCTTCTGCTTCACAGTGATGAGTGTCTGCACTGCCTGAATTCTACCAGAAGTAGAACAAAAAGAACTTAGTGACGAAACGTTCTCTGTAGCACTGTTTGTTCGTTATCAGATACCCACGGTTATGGAAATTTAAATGGCTCAATATAAGGTAATAAAAGCATAATGGTTTATTATGTAAGGTCTTTACACACCACTGAAAACATAGTTATGGATCCTATATTGCTGTTCTGTTGATAGATCCTCAGAAATATTACACACTGAACCTTTAATCATGGTCGGTTTAAGGTATATTTTAGGATGAGTTGGGGACAGTTTGTTACAGTCTCCGGACAATCCACTGTAAACTTCCCTCAGCACAACTGAGGACTCCTCTCTCCATTCGTTAAATAGGACAATGGAAAAAAACGCGAATGAGGTCGGGCACTTTTCTGCCGAGAGTTGAATTTTTTTCAACTCCATGCGCTCAGAGCGCACTTTCGAAAACACAAGGCGCAGCAGGCGGCCAAAACGCGAGGCGCCCAGGGCGCATAAACAGCCCACAAAACGCTCACTGCCAATAGAAAGCAATTTTAAAAAGGCGCATCTCAGTGCAAAAACGCATTCTGTGTGATCTAGGGTGGTCGCAAAATATTTTCAACCTCAAAAACGGGTCGGACTGCCAGAAAGGTTAAGAACCCCTTGTTTAACCAGACTGTACATCATCGTCAGGTAAAAAAAAATAGAAATTGTAATTAGTCCTAAATATCAGTAGGTCCTGGCTGACATACTGTTATTTGTGACAAGTGGAGGAAATGTCAGACATAATTGCTGTTCAGGGACAGCATTTAAAAATTTAAAATCATAGTGAACAGTACATAAATACATGTTTAATATAGAGAGACTGTGCAGGGGGAAAAGTACAACACATTAAGTGAAACATATCACTACACACACCAAGCAATTTCTTGCAGCTATTGCTGAGATTTCAGCTTTGCAAAGTAGAAACAGACCAGTTGTACTGAATGAATAATTGAAAGAGGTTACAAGCTAGGCTACAAGGTACAAGGTTGTTTGTCATTATACAGCACAAGGCTGCATAACAAAAATGAATTTGCACCTGGGGTGAATGTAAACAGCCGCAACCACATGAAAATATGAAAGTTTCATCTTCACAATAAACAGGCTGATGGCTTGGAACATGGACCACCTGCCGAGTGCTTGACCCGGGATGTTGATGGATCAGGTCTCTGTAACGATGTGGGCGCAACAGTCTCTAAATTCCATTGCTTGGTCAACATGAGACCCATTTTGTCCAGACAGGATCTTTACAAACAGAATCAAGTCCAAGCTGGGCCAGCATGGCTGCTATCCTGGCTCTTTGAAAGGAGTTGAAAGGAAAAAAGGAGTTGTGAGCTTTAGGAGCATTTAGAGTTTGTGCATAAATACTTGCACTGATGTTAGTAAGGTTTTGATGAACATTCTTGTTTGTTCTTGTCTTGTGATTTCTGTGAAAATCTAATCTCTGATGTCTTGAACAATCAGCTGTTAAATACTAGGATGCATCTGTTCGTACCTTAGATAGCAAGAATGAAAGGGGGTCTCAGATGTCCAACATAGCAGCACCATTTTGAGGAATTATGTTACAACATTCTACAAAACTATTCTTTCTTTAGGAAAAGCAGTAGCAGCAGTGTAAGTAAATGTGACGACTTTCAACCAGATGACTGTATGACACCTCACTATAGTGACAACCATTGGAGAATTACGTTACCATTTGTATTTTTAATTAATTTAGCTTATGGATATTTACATGTTTTTGGTTCTGCTCGTTTGTTTTTCTTGTATGTCTACTGGGATATCTCAAACACTCGTTTATGGAGCCAAAATCAGATATTTAGTAAAGTTGAGTGAGTTCATGTGAGCAGTTTCTGGATGGCCTCTTAGCATCATTTGGCCAATTACAAAGCAGTCACTCCAAGGAATTTGCAATGGTGTAATCACAATACATCCAACTGTTGCATTGAGAGTTGTAGTGTTTGTCCCTGAGGAACATCTTCAATAAGTAAAATGGCTATTTGTCAAGCCATGAAAGTTGCTGCATTTTCAGTATCGATTCACTCTGAAGTTCAAAGACATATAAATGAGGGGCTGTGTTCTGAATAACCTGAGATGTCAAATCCATAAAAGAATATCATATTGCCAGTGAGGTATTGTCAATGTTATTGTATTGATATTAAGTTATATTGTCGTATGTATAAATACGATTGTGAAATTATATGTTTGGAAAGGGTTATTAATGTAAATATAAAATATCTTAATCATTGAATATGAAACTCTTTGAAACTTTTCTGACCTGTGACCCAGTCTTCAGAGTCTCATAATCATCTTGATGCCAGAGTTGTCAAGTTGTGGTCGGACTGACCTACTTTTGTATTGTATTTTTAAGAGGGCAGAAAAAGAAGCTCTGAATGGATTGTACACAGACATTATGATATAGTTCATTTAATTTCATGTCTTTGTTTATTTGACCAATGTGATATCATGGAATGGCAATACCAGGCTGATTTGACAGGGACAGCGCTCATTAATTAACAGTAAAATAACTGTAAATGAGCCAGAGTTAGCTCAACAGGCTGATTTTCATCTGTTGTCCCTAGCCAGTCATTAAAAGGGCAATCTAAAATTTAGGTTAATTAGGAATATATGAAACGTTTGTCAGTCTTACAAATCCCCCATGACTCTACCAGCTTATCAAACCCTTACGGTCCCGACACCAAGGATGAGAAACTCTGATGTAATTGTTGTTCCTGTCTGTCATGAAGCCAAAAAAATGTTAACTTTGTTGTGCGTCACTCTATCTGTACTGTTGTGAGCATTGGCAGCTAAATAAATCAATATGTAGACTGTAACAGAAATATATGAAACTGTTGACGTGAACACATTTTGTACTGTGGTTGTTTTTTGTCTGCCTTAAGATTTTAATCAAGGCAAATTTGAACTCTCTCGGATGTTTAGGATTTTCAGTCCTCAGATATAGAGTGAAGGTCAGAGTAGTGCATTTAATTTAATCTAACAAAAAAAGTATTATGATCATCTAGAAAAGTTGGCGTTCTCAGCACAAAAATGCAATGAGATCCTTTGCTGGAGCTCAGGACTCCCATGATGTGATACTGATTTGAACTCAAATCTCCATTATTTGAACTCTTCAGTAAACACCAATGTGTCTTTAAACATTTGGTTTCTTTACAAACAAGAATAAACTCTAAATAGGAACTGGATATATAAGTATGAGGCATCTGATCATTTATTGATAAGTGAGGAGCAGAGAGAGATGAGAGATGGAGTGATGGCACCACAGCAAGGCCACACGAGGTTGCATGAGGTAATTAAAAATCTTACAGAACTCAAAACAATTTGTGTTGTTTGATCTTGGTGTATAGAATAGTGTGGTCTGATGAGCAAAATATGTCTAAAGAATTAATTGATGTATCCACATGGTTTGAAGTGTAATTATGCAGCACTCAAGACACTTGCAGTATATCTCCAATTATAGATGCATATGAAAGGCCATGTTGCTGCTTTATCAAGACTACAGGTATTTCATGAACTAAAAAGCTGTGGATAACATTAAGAATGTACAATGTAATGTTAAAATGTTAACATGTTTTGTAATCCCCTCTTCAGACTTTAGAACAGAAGAGATTTTGTGTTCTTCCCTCATGTAGCCTATAGATTAATCTCGGAGAGGACATGATGAGCTTCAACCACAATTACCAAGAGACAAAGTACGACAGCATAATTTGCTATGTATATATAGTATTTAGTATAGTATGCCTATATCGTACTCACCGATGTAAACTGCATAAAGATGCTAACTTGCTAACAAGCTAACATGCCAAACATTACATAGGCTAACCATGTATGCATGCATGTTACAGGAACCACTGTCAGCATCTTAGCATGAAAACTTGCTAACACTATTATTCAGCTTGAAGCACAGCTGGGCCTTCCTCTGGCGCCACCCTCAGGCCAAATGAATGGCAAGAATCAATATAGTATACAATAAGAATTGTATAGTGTACAATTGTAAGTTTGTAGAGTTCTGTAGTATTATTTTTGCCATCTTCATTTCTGTAATACTATTTTATTAGTGTTGTGGCCCAGCTCAGAGGCCACAGGAAATACAGGAAACTGCACTTAAGGGATTACTGGAAAATGAGTTTTATTAACAAAAGTAATTTAATTTAATAAATATAACAAATTATTTTAAAGCTTTACAAAAAGATGAAGAGCCGTCAAGCCCACAGCAATCAGGAAGGGGCGGGTTTTATGCAATCTAGAGACAGTGGCCAGCTGCCTCTGATTTCCCTGATGGCCTCAGCTCCACTCCACCAGGAAGTGCACCCTGCAACAAAACACAGACACAGAGACACACTCACACACACACACCCTGGCAGAGGCCCTGGGGCCGTCACATTAGCTATAGTAATACTTCATTTGTAATACTATGAATCTAGGTCAGTGTAGTATTTCTATGTTATTTTTAATACAGCCCTTTTGTTTTGGAGCAAT